TGAGCAATCGAAAGTAAGTTAAAAATTCCTGTCGAACTTCTTCATACATTGCGTGCTGAATTTCTAAAATCTTCGCTTAGAATGCACTTTAGGCCCGTATTATCATCTTTCATTTCGTGCGATAACAGCTCAAGATTTGTATGCTTGTTAGAAAATCTCCTTTGCGCAATCTACGAAAACAGTGCTCTTAGTAGGCGCACTTTTCCAAACCGAATATTTTTGTTTCTAAAATTCAGAAAAAGTCTCATTCCTCTACTCTGTTGTAATATCTATGTTCTTGCCTTGCACGGAGTCATTCCTGTATCTCATTGATATTGCCTGTCCTGAAGAACTTCATAGGTAAATCAGTCCCTTCCATTAACTGGCTTTCTGTGGATATGTACCGATCCCTTTTTGCCAATTCCAAAACTCGCCAGTCTCCAGTGAACATATCGCTCAAAGCGACCGTATACGATCCAGAGAAATGTGAGGTAAAAAATTGTGTCCGGCTTGCTTAAAAACTGATTCTTTTCTAATTGATTCTTTCCAGAACTCGTCTATAAAACTCCAATACCAGGAAGGCGATTGCCACGAAGTGGTTGTTCTACCTACAACATGGATGTTACGAACTACCGATTGTTGCAAAACAAGTAAAAAAAAAAACAAATAATGCTCATCAACTGGCCTAGTGCTGCAGTCGAATTACAGCTTTGACCGCTTCACACCTGCCAGCCGAATTTCGTTTACTGCAAGTACACGGACATTGGGGTGGAACTGCCGATTCTGGATCGGAACATAGCATTGATGGCAAGCGATATGCAGCAGAAGTCCGATTTTGGTCCTAAAAAGACATTTTCTTTTTCTCTAGGATAAAACCTATTTAGGTGCATTTCGTATTTTGGAATACAACCTATGAACTAGAGAACGCTGCCAACCATCCTGATGGCATGGCTGTTGTGGCGGTTTTTCTAAAGGTAAACTAGCACAGGTCAACATGCCTGCTAAGTCACTACAGCTTTGCCACCTATTTTTTAGGAGGGCAAGTACAATCAGGAGTATGGCCACATCACTGGGTCCATACTGGAAGCAGTAAACACCATGGCGCCCATTCATGTACCCGATGCATTTGATTTAACGAAGCTGTTACCTAAAAGTAAGAGAAATGCTTTGCAAGCGTTTTCTATTCTTCAAAGGCATTTCAAAGGACCCAGTGGCCACAGATTTGTGAATGTTTCATTAAACATTCTATGCAGAGTGTCCCCAAAAAATGCGACCACCGTTGGATTTGATAACTTTTTTGTTCCTAATCCTTTTTGAGGTACTTATGGTTTATTTTAGAAAATAACTTAAAGTTAGTTTTCCATATAAACGGATCTTGAATTTCTTTACATAATGGTATTATTGCGGTCTATTGAATGTAAGCCACAGTTGGCGTCTAGCATATACACTTAATTTGCTACGAAACTTACGGAATCAAATAATTGTTATGATCGAGCTTAGCGTACCAGTAACCCCGACAGATTTTCAGCGTTGTCAGAACTATCTGTGTCCCAATGCCATTAGTGGCTACGATAGGCCGTCACCAGCAAACAGTTCTATAAATTCTAGATGGATAGATAAAAGGATTAAGGGAATATAATTAGTGCAAATTGTCCCTTCAAAGGCAATCATTAAAGGAAAGAAAAGGAAATTTAGAGAAC